CTGATGAACATACTGCCATTTTTCCACTTTTCTTTCTTAAAGACAATTGACTGTAGCAAATTTGTAAATCTGAAAGGACTTAATTAGTATCCAGGGACAGGTTAGTGGCATTTAATTAACAAAGAGACCATAAATTACTTTAAGGAAAAAAACAAAACCAACCAACCTCACATTACATCCCGCTAGGTTTGTTTTTTAATGGGAAATTCTAGTTGAAAGGAATATATTTTGTCATTTAGAATGATCACAGGAAGCAATACTTATCGTCAGACTAGCAAGAAAACTGTTCTAGAGCCTCATTCCAATTTTTTGTCTGTACAACAGATGGACTACATTAAAAAAAAAAAAGTCTTGAGAGTTAAAATAAAGGGAGAAAGTAAATCGTAGAAGGAAGCAGAATATAGCTATTATTTAATTCAAAAAATGTCAGGTGCAGGAGTATTCAAACACAGATTCACAGAAAAAGGGCTCACACATTTTTTTTTTCTTCCCTGAAAGAACAGACTCATCTACCTACTGTCACAATGCCTACTCCATAAAATACTACCAGGGCAGAAGGCTTTATTATAATATTAAAACCTTTGCCCATTCTATGTTCATTTTTATTTTTATTACCTTATCCCCACTGTAACAGACTACATCTCTTGTTACTGAGACAAGATAGAATTAATGTTTCTAGTTCATTTATTTCTACTTCATCCTATTTGTAGAGTCTTGACTCTACCTTGTTATGCTGTATTCAAACTGACCTTTGCTTTCTCCAGTGTTGTTGATCATATCCCTTTAGAAGCATCTCTGTCCCTATTTCAGCATGACACAACTTTCATTTTCTCCTGTGCCAAGTTATCCTGCTTTCCTCATTACAGACTCCTGAACACGTGATGGAGGTCTGATCAGCACAGAACAACCCAGTATTCTGAGGTCCAGAATGATGTAAGGAGCAATAGCCAGACTCCATAGGTTAATTTTCTCTGACTTAGGCATTTCTGCATCATAAAGCTGGGGAGGGTTGGGGACAGGGTCTAGTTGCTACCCATAGTGCATGAAAAGCAACTTCTTCATGTCTTTTTTCAAATTAGTAGCAAGATGTACAGCTATTCCTCCTCAGAGAATACAGGGAGAATACTTCAATGAGGGAGAGAAGTCAGTAATGCCTGTTCTTTATGGTAATCTTTTAGATGTGCAGATGTTCATTATTGCAAAGGGAGCCTGGGATTCCAAATTTTTCTCCTATTTCAAACTGGGCTCTAAATGTGGACTGGCTTCCTCTGTACCACCTTCCTATAACACAATCTCAGATCAGATTGGATCTGGATCACATACAAGTGGTGGCAGTCTATTTTGCACATCTCATCATATGGATGTTGTGAAGGCAGGTACGCTAAGGATTGAAAGGCACACAAAAACACTATGGAAGACTGCATCTACACTTACGTAGAGTGCCTTGTGTAGCATCAGGAAAATGCTCTGCTATCTATTAGTTACATAACTGGCTTTCCTTCCTATGAGATAGGAGCATGGAGGATTGCATACAATCAGACACCATGGTGCTGTCAAGAGGCAGCTGAAGTGTGTGCACTTGAAGTATCAGTCTCCAGTGCATTCCTGGGAATGACACTAGAGTTAACATGGGCTTTTACTGACTGCAGAGTGTCAAATAACCACACAGCTTTTTCCATTTGTGTTTACTCAAGAAGACATAACCCATACTGAAGGAATGAAGAACATGGACACAGCTGTTACTAGAATGCCTTGAAGTGGGTGAGGTATCTTTCCTTTATTAGAGAAGTAAAACTTTAACAATTCCTTAGCGAATTTTAAAACTGAGTCCTAACAATTAAGATATAAAGACATTTTTAAAAATTAAAAAAAAAAATCATACTTTCCCTCAGAATGGACCTAAAATCTTCCAGGATTTTGGCATATGGGCAACTCCTCTTGATTCATGTTGAGAAGAATCCAGACATAGTTTATGTATGTTTTCTACCTTTTCTTTCTGTCTGTAATAAAAGTATCATCTCCCTTTGTATCCATGTTTATAAAGTAATAATAGAAATACATAAAGTAAATTTGTTCCCAAAAAAATATTAATTTCAGCAATTAAAAAATTATCACTGTAATTGTTGTACCAACATATGATTGTCTTCACCAGGGTGTACTTTTGGAAATAGTCCATTCAGATAAAGGAAAACCATAACACTAAAATTATCATAAAATAAGGCATCCATTATCATCCTAGACAACTTTTCAATAAACGAGAGTAAAATGTGATTAAAAGAGAAGCAAACGAGGAGGAAATAAGAACGATAGCCATCTTACGTTAAGAAATCACTGGCCAAATGGAAGAAACAGATATAGACAGTGACAAATTTTGTCTTCATTGCCTTCATTTTAATGGATTTGAAATTAAGTCTTAAATGGCACAAGGAGCCTTACAACACAGTTTCTAAATATTAGCTGAAACTATCATATTCAGCTTCAGCCCTAGCTTCACAACTGAATATTTATCTTATCCCATGGCAGGAGATAACCTCTTCCTCAGCTGAAATAACTACTTCCTTTCCCCCCACCACTTTCCTCAAAAAACACCAGTTTGCAGTTGAGCTCTAACAAGATTTAAACTCTGCTGCTTTAAGATTGACAGTTTCTCATGGCTAAGAGTTGTTCCTGTATGTACTTCAAAGGCAAGTGACGCTGTGGACTTCCCAGCAGTGTGTCCTGCTTTTGATGTCATTGAATTATCCATAGGAGATGCTACTAACAAAGAGAAACTGACAGTCTTAAACTAGAATTTAGATTTACTAACAATAAATGCCACAAAAAAGAGAGAGGATTACCTTTGTAAAACTGATTCTTTTTTTCTGTCTTTTCAGACAGCAACAGATTTCAATAAAAAAAGATGTTGTAGCTGGTATTACTAAAAAAAAGAATGTGGTAGCGGGTATTACTGTTTAGCAGCAGGAACAACCAGTATCATAATATGAAGGGTCTAGCTACTCCAGAAAAAAATTTAAAGTGAATATTTCCTGAAAAAATTCTTTATGCTTTTTAAATAAACTCAATACCTGAATCTCCTTATTCATTGTCAAATTTATTTAAAATCTATTTTAAAAGAGCTCCTGTTTTTTTTTTTTCTCTTAAATGTTTACAATAGTCACAGGTAGATCACATAGATCACAACATAAACAAGAAAAACTTCTTTTCCATCTTCATTCCTATTTCTACTTGCATCCCAACTTCAAAACATACTTTATGAAAAGATCAGGTCTAGCGTGACTGTTAACAACATACCTCTTTCAGAAAACATGGAGTTAAGAGAGACTATTAAACATGAAATATTTATTTTGGGTTTGGGTTTTGTGGTTTGTTTTGGGTTTTTTTTTGTGGGAGGGAAGAAAATTACTTGAAAATATTGAACAAAGCAGTTTCAAAATGTTAAAATATATGACTTCTCTAAGTGAAAGGCCTGTTTTAAAAGGTAATCTGTTTATTGTAAAAATAGTTTCCAAACAATTTAAATCAAAGTGAAATATTTCCAATTTATGTAAACCTAAGTCTATAACTGTTTCACTGAACCACAGATTACTTTTTTCAATCATCATTTGGTTAAAATTTGAGGGTTTTTTCACTTCCTGTCCTATTTCAGAACAATACTATTTAAAAAAAATCAAAAAACATTAATGAACAATCTACATATCTCTTGCCCTGAGTATGTAAAGCTAAACTTTAAATCAGAAGTTTGATTACCTGAGGCTTTTGGTGACATCAGCCAACAAACTTTTAGGGAGGCAGCCTCTAAACTTCACTGCCTTGTTTGTTTTTTTGTTTTGGGTTTTTTTTTTTAAAAGCATGAAGGAAAAAACCAGTTACAAGTAATTCTATGCACTGCCATCTCTGCTCCCTTCTTACCCTTTGATAGCTATACACACATCTTTCTAACTTAAACAGTAAGCAGGCATTCTGTCTTGCTGTAACTGCTGTTTATCTAGCAGAGTTAGTCTTCACTACAGGTATCCTCACACGTAACACACATTGTTTCTTGATCTTATTTTTTCATTTCAGATTTAGATAGATAGTAGCATTATGTAACAAGGGTATCAACAGTCTTCCAGTTCACTGAACCATGAGAAGGGTTTGAGGCTCACCACGCTCTTTTCTTGCCAATGACAGTTCAACCAGCATGGAAGTTAGCAACATTTCCAAGAAGATTAAATATATCTCATTTGGCTAAGTACCTTCTTTGTATCTTCCATTACAGTCAGATTTTCCTCTTACCAAGGTCTTAGTTCTGACTGCCACTAGATAGACCTCAAATCAAACTTAAATTTCTAAAGCATTTTTCAAAGATGTCACTGTCAAGGCAAAACAGAAGGGCAAAACAAATTTTAGGGTGAGGTAAGGGAAAGGTAGCAAACTGGCATATTTCTGCTGGAAAGTCAGGAATTTATTTTTAACTCATATAAGTCGTCTGTAAAGCAAGCCTCAAAACTTCTGTTGGTTTCAATTCCTAGCACCTAAAACCAGGGTTCCTTCTGCAATTCTCTCTGAAAAAGTAGATACTGAAATTCCAAACAAATATGACATCTGTTCTGTAACTTAACTAATGGCAGAAGCAGTGCTAGAATTTAGGTCTTCTATTTCACCAGGCATACTAGTACATCTCTCAAGTTACCATATTTTTCTTCAAAATTTAAGTTTTAAATAAAATCAAGAGACATAGCTGTTAGCAACTGTTAAGACACTGCAGAAAATGCAGATAGAGTGTGACTGATTTATTGACAGCTGTGAGCTCAAACACACAGAATTCAGCAACTGAAGCATACTTATGAGAATACTTATGGCTAATAAATCCACATTATGTGTTATACACTATCTTGCCAATAGAAATTCTTGTAATTTGGTTAAGATTTCTTAAATTAAGAAATATGAGTAGTGACACCCCTCCTCCCTCTCTTTGTACATGTGAATAATCTGCTCATAGTCTAATGCTTTAGCCTTACCAGTGCTGTCATCATAAACAACAGTAACAGTTTTCCACTTGAAGAACTGCACAAGGTCAAGGATGGCACGGCTGAGTGAAGAGAAATCTGGATAGAGGCTGACATAGAAGGAATCCTTGTTGTCTGACACCTGATGTTTCCAGCGGGTCTGGATATGTGGAACACCCAAAGCGTTGCAGATGGATTGCACAGCATTAGCTGAGGAGCTATGGGATGGTCCGAAGATGGCAGCCACCCCAAGGGACAGCTGATCGCAGGCTGAAGAGGAGACAGAAGTCTGTCAATGATGAGAGGAAAGAAGGCAGTGTGCCAGAAGGTATTGCACAATTCATATTAAACAAAAGGCACTGCGTGAAATATAACTTTATTGCTGACAGAGCTCCTTTCTTGTGTAACACACTCATTTACACAGATTTCAACTTCAGAATACATTTCTAAGCTTTCACTATGAGCTGATGAATAGCAACATTTCAATTAACATCGAAATAGCACTCAGCTACATTTAATAAACACTTCTATGTCAGTGGAGGTCACAAAGGCCAGCAATTGTGTGTCTTTTAAAAAGCACTGACAAGAGAGGAGATATATGCTCAGGTGCATCTTACATTGGGAAAAGAGCCATATGGGACAGTATTCTAACCTAGGCTGTTTAAGCATTAACTTCTTCCTCCAATCAACACTATTTCTACTGAGATCCTAATTACTTGGAAATTGTACGTGATAAGTAGATTCTAGTTAAGTATCAGGCAAATGACTAATTTCATTGAAATGGACATTTGAATTTCTGTATCTGAAAAGAAGGCATGTTGGCTAGCAAAATTTAAAGGTCAATATTTTCCCTGAAAGAAAATTAAATTGCTCTCTGCTGATGAAAAAAAAAAAAATCAGTGTCCTTTCTTAAACACTGGAAATACTCAGTTTTGCTACACCTATATTAGTAGATAAAACCATCCCTCAGAGTCACTGACATGACACTGCTGCATTCAAGTGGCTTAGCTCTCCTCTTTCCAATATAGGGTGGCCATACCTATACTGTGCATTAGCAGTCTATATTCTGTATTATCTCCCACAGTACACTCCAGTATTATCTTGTAGAATATTAGTTGAGACATGCCAAAAAGAAGGCAGGAAAATTAGTCAATACTGCAGACAAGTGTTTCAGCCCATGCTCTGCTCTTGTTTAGATCACTACCATAGACATAACCTTTATGAGTATGCAGTTGTGAAAAACAACAGATTCTGTCTTCTAAGAAAACATCTTATTTGGTAGAGAGAAGTAATGAAAAGTATCTTCCAAATGCAATCTAGATGCGAGTATTTATGTGAGGTTTGATTAATTAATATTGTTACTCCACCATCAATGTTCCTGACGGATGAGGAAACAAGCAGTAGAAACACATCTTGCTGCATTACTTTTCTCAGAAAGTCAAAATTAATTGTTTTATTGTGCACATCCTTTTCAACATGATGAAAATATTGCTACATCTTTCAAGTGTATTCCAGAAACTATGCTGGCACACCTTTTTATTACTGCAGAGCACCGGTAGTTTAAATGAACTTCTCATACACACACAGGATCTCCACTGCATTTCTGAGCATCGGATCAGGGCCTAAATGACTAGCTTGGTAAAAAAACATGTATGCTAATATTGCCCTTCCTAAGAGTAATCAACAAGCTTTATGCAAATGTCAGTAAATGGGATCACTAACAACAGCAATAGCTACCAGATGGCTTTTCAATGGGCTTTTTTTTCCCTGTTTCTGAGATTTGAATAATGCAATGCTTTCACACGTGATTTAATATGGCACTGGCTCTATCAGACGCATACCAATTTTTCTAGTGCACTGAGGGATATTTTGTTTTCATTTACATTATTCTTCACTGAAACAGTATCTTGGAAATACCATCTTGCCTTCAGGTTGCTCTTTCATATAGTACATTTAAAACCCCATTAATATTTCATCTATATTCAACTTCAAAAGTATGTGTTATTAAGAGGTCTAAACAGGCTATTTTTGATGCAGCACCTGCCTGCTTACAAATGGACATAATCATGAACCACAAAATGAGTCAAATGCTTAAACCTCATTGTTAAAACTGCTTTGGAGCCATCATAATAAAACGAACCATTTTATGTTAACCTTTAGCCTTCGATTCTGAACTAAAGCACCTGTCAGCACAAATGTAGTTGGCTGTATTATGAATTGATGAAGAAAAAAACTATTAGCACTGGAAGATTACACAGATTTTGATACAGCCTGAACAGTTACAAAGGGAGTTGCATTCTCATCCAAGATGCAAGTGGGAACAATGAATATATACAATCTATTGAACATATCCAATCAATGGCATGTTGCCATTCTAACTTCAGCTATTATAGTCTATCAAGAATTAGCAACATAATATTAGGGCTAGCTTGCACCTTCAAGCAAACCCCAAGCAAGGACTAAAAGTAGTTGTATTGTCTCAGGAAAGGCTTAAAGAATTAAAGATTGCAGAACAAATTTCTCTGCTCTCTACATCCGCCCTCAGGAATGGAGAGAAACTATCCCATTAAATTTCACAGGACGGCATGTGCTGGAGTCAGGAAGCAGCTGAATTTGGAAGATGAAGAGGAAAGGAGAAAGAAGGGGCCAGAATTAAGGATCAGCCCAGTTATTCACTGTTGGCCAAGATGGAAAGGAAAGAGTAGTGTCCCTCAGAACCTGCTTTAATCCATCATCCAAAACACCAGAATAACAACTCAAAATTACTTTGTTAAAAGTGTTGTTTGCCTCTTTCTTCTTCCACACACTCTCCTCTGCAAAAAAAACCATCTTGCTAGACATAAACATTTAGCCCATAATATTTCTCATAAATCATCTTACAATGACCAAACTCTGTGTATTTCTGTACAAATATGGATACTGTCTATTTTCATACCTAACAACAACAGCCTAAATTAGAATTGTTTATTTAGTGAATAAACAGATAAAATAGGTTAAGATTAACTCTGTATGTTACAGGAAAAGAGAAAAAAAAATTCTCATCATTTCTAAACTGAATTTTTTAATCAGTATTATACTCCACTTTTAAGATGTACTTCAGGTACATTCATCCTGACACAGCAGCTTTTCACTATGTAGCATTTCTAATGTGGCATCAAACATTTTTATTCATATTAGCCCGCTATAACACCAAAAATCCCTTATTGTGTAAAGCTTTCAGTCTTCAACAATTACGAGTGGCATGTTGGGACCAGATCACTTAGCAGATTTAGGCTAGAAACCTGTCATAAGAAATACAGGTTGACCTCTGATTCTTTCACCCTTCTTATTTTCTTGTTAAGGATAACATTCATATGAAATTGGCTCTTCAATTTATAAAAAAAATGTTTTTAAAGAACATGTAATACAGTGCACAATTCAGTCCTACTGAGTTCTGAAAGCAGGCTTTTTATTTTCTCCTATAAATACATACTGAACTTGTTGGAATATGGCAATGATGCAGTATAACTTACATCTATTGTTATAGACTTGAATGTAAAGCAATCTGAAAACTTCAATTCTTGTGAGAATCAAAGATTTGAAAATTTAGGAAAAATGTTCAAAGCTGTGTTTAACTTTTATTTTTCTTTAAACAAATCATTTATAGTTAGGTGAAAACTGCTGAACTCAGGCCTAGACGTTCACCTGATAGCAATATTCTTAAGCACAGACTTAATATTTGGCTTATTTTTATTCCTTGTTGACATAAGATGCACAAAATTACAATTGCTTGTTCCCCTTTGAAGCCCACACCTGATTAACTATATGAGACATTCATATGCCAAAGGTATTTGTGGAGATGTACTTAAAGTGATTGAATGCTTGAAATTGAATTGGAGCCTTCTTCCAGGTTCACTAGAATTGGAGGGCACTTGGCATTTTCCAGGACAAAGTCTGGAGATACTTTTTTCTCACTCCAAAGCACCTGGTCTCAAAAACTCAGAAAAAATTTATTTCAGATTTTAAATATTTAAAGAAATAGCTTTTAGACAAGGGCAGTGGAAGCAAAGGTGACAATGTAATTTTCAAGCAGTTACCATTACAGCCTTCAAGGGGTGGTCTTTAAAGCAGTTCTTTAATGTCAGCCACAAAGTTGTACAATCTCATTGCATATGGCTTTATTGGACAGACATTTTTTCAGGTAGGTAAACCAAATGAGTCTTAGTTGCTCATTAAAAAAATTAAATATGCAAAAGATTACCTTTTTTGGATGCTTCAAAACTGTCATAGAGATTTATCTTTTGGGTGTCATATGTTAATGTGGTGTTTGGCAGAAGAGTTCTGTTTCTGTTGATTGTGTTCACAGCAAATCTGAAGGCTAATTCTTCTGCTCCCATTGGACCAGATTCCACACACTCAAAAATGCCTCCTGGTAGTGGGAGAGAGAAGAAAGAAAAAAACAAACCACTAGTAAGCCAAAATGGCATACAAGAACATCTTTAGTCATCAGTTTGGGAGAAGATTCATCAGCCTGAAATTTTTAACTTTATAAACCTGATACAGTGCAACTCATGAAATTATCTCATGATTTTGGTGAGGTTTGGGTCAAACCATAAATAACCCAGCAACAAATCAAACCTACCTTAAAGAAAACCTGATTGTTTTTTTTCCATGCAACATTCATTTTACTATTGTGAATAAAAAGAGTGTGGCAATATAAACTAACCACACTATTTAGAAGCAAAATAGGAAAGGGATGAAGAATATGTAATTATTATTTTACATAGTTAAACTTGAAATGATTACATTTACCCCTTCCAGATCAACCACCACCTATGTTTGTGTGGCAGGGGGGAGGGAGATTTCTGGATTCTTGTTTTCTACTGTTCTAGACTTATGATACAGCTATAATGAACTGGAGAGTTCACCGGAAATGCAACATATAAAGGAGCATGGAACTTGGATGCCCCAAACTGCCTCCAGAAATGAAGATGTATAGATATTTTAGCATGACTGTGTGCCTGAACTGATAAATGTGTTGAGCAAAGGGTTCAAATTTTGCTCTTTTGCACTGAGCCACATGTATATGCTAACCTCATTCTCAGCAAATACAGGAATCTAAGCAACTACACCCTGCATAAGCTCTATCGTGCAATGAAAGCATCACCAAACAAAGCGTACTGCCGGAGCAGGACATGCCTCAAATGACAGGCCATTTCTAGAACACTTCTGAGCCAGCCTTAATCTTAAATGAAGCAAATAAGTGTGTGAAACAGTGCTGTGCTTCAGCTGTTCTTTTCACATTAATGAGATATCATTGCCCACGAAACGTAAATTTATACATACTTTGCAGTAACATCATTTATTCTTGGGTCTGGAAAGGCCAAGGATACAGTGACAATAAAAATAATTTGAAGATATGTCCTTACTATGGTGACATGGAATGCCTCAGAAAAACAGTCAGCATCCATATGGTCTCTTCAGTCCTCATGCTAACAGCACCTGTCAATGCTAATGGACAGCCAATGGCTATCACCTGAGGATCACTAATTACAAGGCATTGTATCTGTGCAAGAAACATTTTTCATTCACTTTCTCCTATCTTGTGCTTATTCATTTCCCAAGTAATGTTGCTACCTGGTTTTGTGTTGTCTAAAAAATTTATTCAACACTCCACTACTTTCTCAGAAAGAAGCTCTCAGAATCTGAATGTACAGGAACTTCACAAACTACAGTTGGTTTGTAAACAGTCTTGTTGAGCAGCCAAGTAGCTAAACCATTTCTAAAGCAAAAAGAAGGCGTATTTAGTTATCAACTCTTTC